ATGCATTTAACTCAAATTTTGCTACAGTAGGCTCCGTTCTTAACTATGGGTCATCTGTAACCCAGGCTTTCTTAACCCGGGAACTACCTATACATCTAAAAAGGAGCTGTAGATTTTGCCATTCTGCATATTGTAGGTTTTTTTCCCCTTTTTTCTTATGTAAGAATGCCTATGGATTCTTTTAAAAACAATAGAAACTCATTTGCTATGTTAAAATCTAGTTAATTTTCAGAATTGAAAAGTGTGTGTGTATACTGCTGAAAGTAAGGCATTTGCTATGGATTGTATATGTAGATTTTAAATAAGTATTTTACTTTAAAATCTAATTAGCTCTGTAGCAACATAAATTGTAAATGTTTTTTGGAGAGCAGGAAAAGAATAATAGGGGCTTCAACTAAACAGTGTTAGGTACCTCTAATTCCCACTGTTTCCATATCATAACAGATGTATGTTTATTTAGAAATCAGTCAAATTGGATGTTTTACACCAAACAAGTCTATAGAAAATTGCCACCTTAAACCCTCTCCCAAAGAAATGAGATATCTAAGCTAATCCTAAACATGCTTTAATCTAGGAGTAAGTCGCACTTTAAATATTCTTTTTGTCAGATCCCCTGATTTTTTTTTATTGTTCATACTAAAAACTATAAACTCTTAAGCTTGGTTCCCTAATTTGGCTTTATTTAATATGTATGTAAAGCAAAACATTTTTTTTCATTTTTTATTTCTGGACAGCTGCTACTATTTTATTTTTCATCTCTCATCCATGATGTCAGTTCAGTTATAATTTCTGACCTTTTTTTTTCCCCCTCAAAAATAGATTATCTCACTCTTGAGATTGCTATGGCCAGTTTTGTAACATACCAAGGGCAGGCCTTGATTTTCCTCGTCAAGTGTAACGTAGGATCTTACTGCTCATTGAGACAGATAGCAAGCATTGTGGCAGATCCCGGAGTATGGTAGCTGCAGTGTCAGCCAGTGCATTTTATCAACCAAGCCTGCATGTTTTCTTTATCCTTTTCTTGGGGTATAACCATGCAACTTTCAAATGGGCATAAGCCCTCCAAGTGCATGCTTCTAAGACTGTATTCATCTCTTTAAACCTAAGAGAAGGGCTTCTTGGCAAGATCTTTCTGAGAATTACTTTAAAGGCTTTCTGACAGCTGATTGAATATAAATGGATCCCCCAAATCAGGGTATTAGAATGAGATTAGGGACTCTTGCAGTTTGATATCCAGAAATCTCATTACCTTCCTGTTATTCCAAATACATCAGGTAAGGTATAAGATAATTATGGCAGTTGTTGACAAGAAAATCTCTTGAACTGAAATACTGAGGAACATGCTGTCATTGTGCATACAGAAAAGTGTTTTATTGAAGCCATCTAGGCTAAAAAACAAGTGTAATTTGGCATGGGAAGAAAAATCCTAAGCAAGGTATCTAAGTCAAAATTACATACAAAATAACCACAACAACAACAACAGAAAGACAAAAAACCCAACATGCAAATATTTTGTTCACATATTGACTTATCTACAAATTGTTTAAACATTTAAATCAGAAGGCAGGTATAAACTAATTTCCTAACAGCACCTAAAAGTGGCTAAGGTTTCTACCTAAAGATGGGAGGGCATTTTTCTAGGTTCTGTTTGGTGAAGCACTGCCCAGTTTGACCCACCAAGATGAGCAGACCTCATAAACCACATATGACAACTTACCAGGCACTTGGCAGTGGTCAAACTTAGGAGCTGCGTTTGTCTCGGAGACTCTTAAGTGTGCAGCTTTAAACCGAGGCAAGATTTGAGTCAAAGACACTTACAAGGGACAAAGCCTATGATCCTGTTGATCCTGTAATGATCCTCCCCACGTATGTGGCCCAATGACTACAGTACAATCTGAATCAGTTTATAGTTACACTCCCTCTTCAGTATCCTAAATGAGCAGGGTGGGTAAGCTTTTAACCATGACAAATATTGCAATGAGGTGTCTCCTGACAGCACAGCACTTCAAGGCTGAGAGTCTGTAAGTTTAACAACATACATTTAAAGTTCTACAGTAATCATTGTTATAGAGTAACAGACCAGCAGACAGTTAATTTTTGTACAGAAGGAGATGTTGCCTCTGACATTGATGATGATAATAATAATAATAAATAATAATAATAATCCAGTCTGCTTAACAGTGAACCTTCAGTATTTGTTCTCGTACGGAGTGCACAAACCAAATATATTAACATCTCAACACTAAATTACAATTTAAGAAGTCAGGTCAGCCTAGAAGGCAATGCTGTTAGTGCAACACGGCTGACCGTTAAGGAAGGGAATAGTCCAGAAAGCAGTGGGATCTCCTGAGATTTTGCCTGATTTCCTTGCTGGCTTCCACTGTAACTCCTGCTTCTAATTTCATTGGCTTTGCTGGCGTGTGTTCCTTTGGCATGCAGGAAACGGGTGCCGTGGAGATGATTGCGTCTTCTCAGCGCAACTGAATTTGTCAAGGTTACACTTTTTCTATCTGGCAAAAAGCCACAGTGCCAGTAGCCCCGATCCAAATTCCTTGAGATGAATGAAGTCTTGGAAAGCCTTGGGACAAAGGAGGCTATCTCATGCATTTTTATTTGCTCCTTCACTGCCTCGCACATGGCGTCTATCCTTGGCTCACACTTTGGCTCCTTGGGTTTAAAAAACTGAGGGCAGGAAACCGTCTCTGCAAAAGCATGGAACATTTTCTCATTTGCCTGGGAATTAACTATCTTACTTTTCTTTGGAGAATTATCCAGGCTGTTTTTGAGAGCTGTATCCTTCAGAGGCGGCAGTACCAGTGACGATTTAGCAGTAATTTCAGGGCCAGCCTGATTACACAGAAGAGACTCGTGGCTCCTCATCTCTTTGCCCTTGACTATTTCTAGACTTTGGTGCTTTCCTGGAGGCAGAATATTATACTCCTTTATTGGCACTGTTTTCTTTTCTACTGGGAATAGCGGATTCTCTTTCATTATAAATAACTTTTTTTCACTTAGAGAAGCTTGGGCTTCTTTGAAGATCATTTTTTTCTTTTCTCCTTGGGACAACTGAATAGAGTGCATTTTGCTATAATCTCTTTCTTTCTTAGGCTCATCGATTGCAGAAGAAGCAGTCGTAGCTGTACTAGAATAAAGCAAAGTCTGTTGTTTTTCTGGAGGGCTACCTGTGGCAGCACTTGCATTGAATTTGAAATCAGATTTCACTTGAACTATTGTCTTGGGCTCTTGTTCCACACCTTGCATCAGATCTAAGCAATAGAGGCATCCATTGACAGACTCACTTGGCCTTGTCTTTCTGGCTCTCTTTTGTAACTGAAGGTAAGCAAAAGGGGCTGTTTTGCTCCAGCTTTGGACCTGAAGAAGCAAAAGGAGGGATACTCAGCAAAAAGGCACAGGGGCAAACACTATTAGGAAATGGCATATCATTAACTAATGAAATTGCTATTTTAAATGATGAAATGACTAGACATGCTGGTAAAGGCACTATGCATTCAAAATGCAAGTCAAGTGTGGAGAAATAGATTCTTTATTTGAAAAGATGCAGTGAGAACGAAGTTCTCAGACCATTCAGAAGCACTTCTCTTTATCCAGTGAAGCGTTTAGCAACCTATTTGGCAGATCTGGAATGAGTCACTGTTCAGGATTTGACAGTGGCTCCAGCATAACGCTCTCGTGACTTTTGTCCTCCCTCTTTCTACTGAAAATCATGCCTATCACCTTGCACCGACACTTTAGGCTCTTCCAGGGAGGAAGGGAAGCACAGTGTCCTTGGAACGTCCCCTGAAAGACTATGCCAAAAGGAAGTGGTTGGATCACCGCACACAACCATTTTTGTTCTCTGGATCACAATCGATGATTTGCCTGTACTATGTCCTCCCTTTCATATACAACTGGAGGAATCTGAAATTGTCCACTGTATTATAAAAATCCAGGGCGCGCTCTGACAGTGTTCAACAATCACAGACTGCTTCTATTTGTATTCATTTGGCTTTTATTAATTTTGTTTGAAATATTTTCATCCCACATTTCAATACGTGGAGCCACTGGCAGTTTAAAAACAACCCCTGTCAAAAAAGATAAAAAATGCTGCCTCAATAAAAGGCACCTCTAGCAATAGCAAAGGGAAACCTATGTCCTTCCTTACAAGCCCAGCAGAACAGTCCTTATATATCTGTTGGGGAAAAAAAGTTTTCAGAATAGATTCCAGACCTGTGTCCCTGGAAATAATATTCTATAGCCAAGAAACTGCTATCTCTCTGTTCACCCTCGTAGCCTCTGAAGTAGGGGGCATCTGAAGCAAAACTTTGTTAATGTTATAATGTTTGGGCAGGATCATATGTGTAAGGGGGTGGACTTCAGATTTCCTAGTCAGAAACTACAAGGGGATGGGGGTGTAATCTTAATTACACATCACCAGTTGAATAGCTTCTATAATGTGGCTAGTCACAGAATGGCTGTCGTAAGGGCCTGGCTGTATGTGGAAGGCAGAATACTTTTTCAAGACATTGTATACAAGGGAGAGACTAGGAGTACTGCTCTAGGTGCTGTAATGGTATGTGAGAAAGACCTTGGGAGACTGAGCGAAGAGACGCTGCCAAGGGAACGGTCAGATAAAAGACGACAAAGCCCACAATTAGACAATGGGCGGGACAACAGGCTCAGAAGAGACCCTCCCTAGTTTCTCAGACTGTAAAGGAGATAGGTGGCAGGGGCAGAATTGCAAATTCTGTCAACGTAGCTTTGCAATAAAGTAGAAATAGCTCATCTAGTTGTGGTTCCTATCTGGTTTACCCCATGAGGCTGACGTCAATCTTGCAAGTATGAAAGTACAATTCTTGCTGCTCTCCCCCAGTCTCCTTTACATTAATCCTTTACAATTAAATCATTCCCGATGGGGACGATTTCCATTTTTTTTTCTGCAGGAGATAAGCTACAAGCATATGGGAACAATAGATTATGACTTATTAGGCTAAGGTAACAACTGAAACAGTTCAAAGGCTTAGTGGCATGTATTGATGGAGTGCATTATTTTTGCACGTTCTTTTTTAAAAGGAAACCCTGCTGATCAACAGTAAGAATTGCTACCCCCTAAATTCTCACTTACTGCTTCCTCCCATCCTGTTCCATTCACACACTCCAGGGGTCTTTCCTCTTGCTCCTTTACACTATTACTGATGCTCAGAAGTGTGTAAATCTGATTCCTCTCCCGCCTCTCATTTGGGTAGATGCAGCAAGTCTCAATTTCCACATTTCTCGTCTTCGTAGTGGCTTTTTCGGAATAGCTCTCACTTTGGTTTTGTCCAGAGGAATTCATAACAGTTGCTGTCACTCCAGGTTGCACGCCTTCTGCCTGCAGGTGGATGATTATGGATTTTATATAAATAAATGAACTAAAACAGGTATTACATTTCTGCTGTTGCTGTTGTTTTAATTGACTGGGTTTTGTTGACGCATAGATTGTCTGCTAACCTTTGTCTGCTTTACTCTGTCTTAATAGCCTCATGGGCTAACAAACGCGCTGAATGATGTTTATCATAGGAGCCTGTTACTCTTGTGTTTCATCTCAAGAAAAATCTATCTAGCACAGTTTAGCTGACTATCCCATAACCCCCCCAGCCACCCCCACCCCTGAGCGATAAAAGGACAGATCTCCTGCTCCCTTTCAGCATTGATGTGGATGAAATAAGGCTTCCTTTCCATGAGTCTGGAAAATCCAAATCCAGGACAGGGACATCCCAAGAAGACCACAGGCCCCTCTTCTGGGCTGGGGACATCCCAAGGTCTTCCTTGCCCCATCCTCCCTTAAACTGACATCCCCACTGTAATGCAAAGCATTGTTCTCGAGGGACGGAGCAAAGCACTGGTTCTGAATGCTTTGGATTGGTCACATCTGGCTCAGCCCTCCTTGTGTTGCTTCTCCCACCTCATTCTTCCTCCTAGCTCAGCGGTCCTCCCTTCCGATGCTTCTGCCCTCCCATCGCAGGAGGGCCTTCAGGGGCAGCCCCTCTTTGACCCTCCAAACCTCCACTGGCCACCTGGCCTTCTCATCCTCCCACATCTTACCACAGCCCCGGGCACAAATGGCAAATCCTTGAACTGATGCCCCCCCTGGTTAGCACTAGGGGAGGGTGGTCCATCGAAGCTGGAGGGTGCCAGGGCAGAACATGTGGAGGGCCACAAGCCCCCTCCCCCCCGTTTCTGGGAGCGTGGCCAGAGGCCCTCTTGCCTTTGAACTCCCTTGCCCTTTGCCCGGGGACTCTTTAGCTCCCCCTTGCTGCGGGGAAGGCACTCTGCACCTGCTCAGGAGCATCCTGTCTTCCAGCGGCTGGAGGGAAAGGGGCCGCATTTTGTCTCCGGCTTTCCTCGGAAGCCGTGCCGGGCGGGGCCGGGGCCGCCGTTGCCTTGGCGGCACTCTTCCCCTGCTCGGGAGCATCTCGTCTCCGGCGGCTTTCTGCGCGCGGCCGGTTAACCGTTATCCCGGCGCCCCCGCTGCC